ATATATATATATATATATATATCATTATTGTATAATTAAATCTACAGAATTACAAACGAGGAACAGGTTGGAATAAATAATAATATATTTTATTTTGAAATATTTCTTCCTATCATCACTCTTCTACGCTGATGAATTACTTACTCAATTTATATTTTGATATATGATTAGATTTTGTGAACAAAAAGCTCTGTATGGTTTAATGAAATCTTGTTATTAAGGTAAACAAAATGTTTTAAACATTTGTATTCATAGTTCAACAGAAAATCTTTTTTTGGATTTAACATGTTTAGCTTGTTCCAATATCTGAGCTACCTGTTTCTGTCATCTGAATATTTCAACAAATTCTCTCTTTTCTTGTTTTCTTTTAAAACATCATTATGTCTACTAATCGCATAACCTATTCAGGCGTGTTTATGAAAAGTCTACGACTTTTCGCTGTACAACTTACAAAAAAAATTATAATCAAAGACATCGTGATGGTTGAAAATATACATTGAAAAAGATGAACATTACTCAGATGTTGATTCTTTAACTGTTAACATCTGACTGGTGATTACTTAATACTTATCGTAAGGATCGATCAAGAAATAAGAAAAGGGAATTTGTTGAAATACCTTGTGCTGAGTATTCTATATTGTACTAAGAATGTAATATTGAATAAAGCCATCGACAATAATAATAATAATAATAATAATAATACTAAAAACAACGCTTTCATTTTAATGTGAAATAAAGAGTGTTGTTATATTTATATTGTATAATTGAAATATATCGCTTGTAACTAGCAACAATTTTACTGTATAAATTTCACTGGGTAATTAAAAGTTTTGCTTCTTTTTTTACTTATTCATGTAATCAAAATTCTATTGAACATACGGAATTGATTGTTTTTCTCCATGTGTACATTTATTATTGACTAATGGTTACTGATTTCAGTGCATTGAATATGAGCATGTTAATTAAATGAATCTTTAATAAATGTAGACTAAATTGGGTTAAGTTAATATTGTAATTTAGTTTACCTTTGGATGTGTTTATTTGCATAAAATCTAACATATTAACAATATCATATCCGTAATGTTTAAAAAGATTAAGAAAAGTTAGTTTGTTTAGTTAGCTACAAAGTAAGAGCGGTCACATGTATGCATCGGTCCAAGTTGCCAAATCTTATTAGCAGAACATAATGAACACCAAATTTATAGAAGTAGTCACTTCAAAGATAGTAATGTATAAAAGAAAGATTGCATAAAAGGATATAGTAAAAGAAGAAAGAATTAGTTGGTGGGAAGAAAGAGAAGACAAAGAGCGTATACACCGACTCCATTATGATCGATTCTGAGCCATGTCAGACTCTTCGACCATTGGTTACGATAATCAAGCGGACCCCAACCAAGTAGACTACACCTACCAACATGGCTGGGACTAGAAGTTAGTGAATTTATGGACTGATGTCACGTTTCGGTTTGGCCGCCCCTCTAACACGTCGTGGTAATCAGTGTTCAGGCATACGTAGCACGTGACCCAACTATCTCAGTCGATGAAGATTTACAACCTCATTAACTGATTTACCATCATTCCCTAATACCCTGAGTCTAACCTCACTATTACTTACCCAGTGATCCCAGCAGATGCGATCAATATTTCCAAGATATCTGTGATCGAATACTAGTAGCTTACGGCTATTTTCTACCCTTAATGGCCATGTTTTGCAGCCGTAATGTAGAACAGAACAAACTGTTCCACAGTACACTCGTTCCTCAATTGATAGACGGATATCTCGCCTTCGCCATAGGTGACATAAGTTGGTAAAAGCCAAATAAGCTTCTTGAATCCCTGCAGAGATTTCCTCAGATACCAACCTATTAGGGTTGATCAGACTTCCAAGATAAGTAAAGTTGTCAACGCATTCGATTACTTCACTCCCTATCCTTAGTTCAGGTGTTGATGCAGCCCAGTCCTGGAGCAACAACTTGCATTTAGAGGGGGGGGGGGAAATGAAAATCAGTCACACATAATGATGGTGATAAAATAATCATTTGTTCATGTATACTATCTACATGAATTACGCTCCTCTAATGATATCTATTTTTAACATTTTAGTTCATTATCTGTACTATCACATAATGTCATACTGTAATACTACTTATATGAACATGTATTAATTAGAAAAATATTTATATCATGCCAATGTTGTATTTCAATATTTTAGGCAGCTATAGTGAAAAATATTTCATATTCACTCTATAAGAAATTGTATTTGTTAACTGTAGTATTTAAAGAAACTATCAACGATACATTCATCACTCAATTATACTCGGCCCTATTATGAACTGTTTAAAAAAGAATACTCTGACATATTAAATTCTTCAATTTACCTTACATTTGCAAAATTACGCTTTCATTTATCAATACAGAAAAGAAAAAGAATTTTATTCGTCATAGTTCTTTACCTCATAACGAAGCCATTTTTTTATATGCCTTTTATATTTTCAAAATACTTTATTATTATACAAAGATGGATAGTGGCTAGCAGTAGGATTCAAAAAGCGCGTTTCGTCCTATTTGGGACTCGTCAGCTGAGTGTACCTGCATCCGAGTTGTTGTCCACTCCGGGACTCGAACACAGTAGCGTTCTCTTGGGTTTCAATGTTAGCCACTATCCATCTTTGTTTAAAAAGCTTGTGACCTAAGGCTATATCGAGGCAATCTGCACAGGATGTACATATGCCAACATGAAATTGATCAATTACAGTCCTAAATAACAATGGGAAGATATAAGTAAAACAACAAATGAATTTAAAACTTCATTATTACTATTATTACTATTATCATTATTATGATCATAAGTGTTATTATTTCTTGTTTCAGTTCAAGAATGAACGGTTTTAATTAATTTCTCACGTATTATATGGCTTTCTAAAAAAATGTGGTCTCCTAAGCTTGCCTAGTATATCATTTTCTTTTTTTTCTGTATAGTCATACTGTTTACATTCATCTGTGCCAATAATTGTGGAAACACATCAAAATCCCCTTTAGTTAAAGTATGACATCGATTCTCAGTAATCACTAAGAATTAAATGTAACCACAAAGCAGATTGTCGTTGATCAAGCAGAATAACGTTTTGTTAATTTGAGCACGTACATCAATCTGATAAATTATAGTATGTCCGACAATGCAGTTTTAGAGTTTCTTACCAACTGCTCCATTATCAAACATGCTATGTCCTAGTATTGGATCACCAAGCTAATTCGGAAATCTATAAAATCCAAGTAAAAGAACCAGAAGTTTAGTTAATCTTCCCTGACAGATTAGTATATTTATTGCACAACCAATAGGTAGAGATTGTTTTCAAATTAAAATTCGATAAATTAGCAGTCTATGAAACCTTGAAATACGTTAACTACCATTATTACAAAAGGTTTTTGATGAATACACAAACATAAATCATGGAAGAGGTTTCGAGAGTCAATTACTGAATTTTAAAAATACTAGCTGGATAGCGTGCAATATCATAAGGATTTGGGTTTGATTTGAATCAATGCTTATTTTAGGCAGACAGTGTGTCTAGGTAAGACATTTAATTGTATAGTTATCTTGGTAGGTCAATGATTTTTTAGTCAAATAATCATCAATTGGTTAAATTTTCTGGTAAGGGATTCGCAATTAGATTCTAACAATGAAAATAAAAATATGATGATGGTTTTCGAAATAGAGCCTAGGTGATATTTAAATTTAAACTTCAGACTTTTAGAATACTAGCTCTATAATTAAGGGTCATGATAGAAGTGTAGAACCTACCTTTGTAATAGTCTAGCAATCATATAATAATCAGACGTTTGGTCTAATCATAGGAAAATAAACCTATCGACCAGTGTACAACTTATGTGAACAGTTTATTTATTAGCCCATAGAAGGTAAGGATTGATTGGATAGTTCAGATACCATATTTACATAGTTGGGTAGTGAGATCTCTATTCTTTACACATAAAGTTATGACTCATAGTTGAGTATATGGTCCTGGTTTCGATAACTAAGTTACAATAATTAGCAATCAACTATATGCAACTGATTTCTTTTCCATCAAAAATTATGTAGAAATTGGTTGTCGTTTCTGTATTTTAATTTAACAGAATCAAAGTGGTTATGAATTGTCTACATATTGATGATCAATTAAATGAAAGAGTTCTTCAAACTGCATACATCTTTTGCTTTCCACTATAATAAGTAGCGATTCAAATACTACTACACGTTCACACCATACATTCAAATCTCACTGTAACTGAACGAATCATTAATCTATGTACTAATTAAACAAAATACAACAGTATAGAATAAATAGCCATTTATACTTATATACTATTAATACAAAACGAAAAAGTAACACAAAATCTTTCTTATACGAAAGTAGATTGTGCTCATTTATATTTATGGATGTGTATTTCTGTGTGTGTGTGTGTGCGTGTGTGTGTATAGATATGTGCAGTTATACATGTACCCAGATAAATGAAAACGAAAGTGCGAAAACAAAAACGATCAAAAAAAAAACAAAACAAATAAACAAACAAACAAAAAAAACAAGAAGAGAATCATAATTTGAATGTGCATAAATGAGTTAGTTATTTAAATGTTTTCTGATTAACTAGTATTAGCAGCAGTAATAGCTAGTAGTAGCAATAATAATAATCGTAGTAGCAGTAGTAGTAGTAGTATTGTTTGCTTTAGTTTCTATGTATAAACAGATTTGTTTTACTAATGTCTTATTTTATTCCATTGTTCAATTAATATTTTATTTTCTTTTACATAAAAAAAAACACAATAACAAAGAATAAAAGGTTTCATAATCACTAAAAGGGCATAGAAGTGTTGGTGATGATGAAAATGTACTGGAATGGGTCTATTTTTCTTTTTTCTTTTTAAAACATGATTGTAACATATTAAAAGAGTGTAAATTTCTCCTTTGATTTACTTATTTATTATCAAAATAAAAAATAAACATTTATTGATGACCTCTTGCATTATCAGGTGAAATAGTTCTTGATGAAGTCTCTTGATATTCTTCCCATATTTGTGTTTCACTTGTCCATGAATGTTCATCATTTTCATGTCTTACTTGTACATGTGATGGAATTAATTTATAATCATTATATAATGGTGATGTTATATCAATTCGAGTACATGATACACTTCTAGTATCAGGTAATACATTAATTGGATGATATAAGTTAGATGTACTTATATTTCTAGTTGTAAAAACATCATCTGATCTAGTTCTTGGTATATTGAATTCATGATGATATTGATTAGGTCGATGAGGATAATTTTCTTCAATATCATCTTGTTCATAATTTAATGATACTTGAGATGGAGCTAAAAGATTTACTTGTGTTGATAATAGAAGTGATCCTGGCTCTTTATTTGGTGTACCTGATGTTGTTATATACCGCTGTGGTTCTATTTCTTCAATAAATCTTAACCAACCAGCTTGTTTTGCAGTTAGAAAACTACACCATTTAGTTGGGATAAAATCTTCCGATGATAAATGCCCTGTAGAATTCATACTACGTAACATTGGTCTTGCTGGCCAATCAGCAGCAACTTCACCAGTTTCCCAATTTAATAATCCCAAACGTACAGCTTCTAATGGACCTAACCAAGGAGATGGTTCACCACCAGGACAAACATGAGTGAGTTGATAAACTTTACAGCTAACTGGTTCATCTAATTCATCTTCCATAGATTCTGTTGTGGGAGTTGATGGTTCTAATTGTATTATTTGTCTACCAGCACCTTCTTCTATAGTAATCCATGTATTTGTTAAACTATCTAATAGGCGTATTTCATCTTCCGTTGTTTCAAGTATACCATTTGCTATTGCTAAATTGGGTGATAGTACTTCTCCTGTAGCCGTATTAACAACGCTTGTTAAATAGGCTTTGCACCAACTAAAGTATACTCGTTCAATTAATAGTAATACAGGTGTATTTGTTATAACATTTCTATCATAATGACTTGATGAACTAGTTAATCGTATACGTCCTTGTTGATAAGCCGTTTCTAGTGGAATAGCAACTCCGGTCATTGGATCCACATATTCATTGGTTTCACCAAGTCGAATCCATCCTCTTCTTATTGCCATTGCAACTGGTGCAAATAATCCTGTTCTTGGACTGGCCACTTCACGGATATTATTCCATTGTATACATGATGTTGAATATTGTGATTCAAATAATTCATACTGTAATGTTCGTTGACGTAGTTGAACTAAAATTTTCGACCTGTACAATAAAATAAAAAATCATGTGAAAATTAATATGTTTAAACAAAACTCTTTTATCAAATACAGAGTTAATACATTACACTGATGTGAAGTCTTAAACAAGAGCAAGACACTCATTTTTAGTTCACTATGGTTTTCATCAATTCTCCAACTTACATCAGTGAGTAATATGAACAATTTCTTGAAGAATATTAGCGTATTGAAGATAAACTAATTGAATATTTACTTATTTTCATAACTATAGGAGTGTTATAAGCGAAATTAGAGTCATGATCAGACTAGAATCAGTGTCCTTTAAATTATCATTTTAACATCATAATACCTCAGGAAGTTTGAGAATAAACTAACTACAAGTGAACCAACACTTTTATATTTTATATACTCATTTAAATGTTTTGGTTTTTGGTTTATACTGACATCAATATATGAGTTGTAACTAGTTTGGATAGTCTTTATTAATAAACTCAGTTGTTAACTAACATATCATGATTAAAAATGGAAATGTAAAATATCGTCCAGGGTTTTTAAAGTCAATTATACCAGGACTTCAATGAACTTTCCATTGAGCTACTGTCTCTGTATAGCTGCTAGCTTGTTCATTTCGTACGAATCTTACTTGTGAACGTTTCTATTTCGTAGTTTTTGATCTTGAGGTATACAAGTGATCGAGATTGGTAAATAACATGTTGATATTTAAATCCAAAAGCTAATAAATTTGAGTCTCTGAGTAGACATCAATACTGGGAAGTATCAGATATATCAAGCTGACCAGTCTTAGGTAGATCGAAACACACCTCATATTTTCTATCGCCAATTCCTATCTAACTTTAATAAATATAGGTACGATCAATGAAAAGCCATGAAACATAATATCAACGCTTCAAAACTGATGTTAGTTCATGGCGAAGATTAGCTTCAAATAGAAGAAATCCTTTTTAACAACCTAGCTAATAATCATTCTATTAAATACTTTTGGATTATTCAGTTATACAGCATTTTGTTGCGTTTTTTGAAAAATAAGGTTTTAATTACTTGATGACTATAGTAATTTTTGCAATAAATAAGTATTGACTAAGTAACCATGAGAAACTATAAAGGTTGATAATACAGAACTCGATCAGCACTAAAGGACTAGGATAAACGTGAGATTAGTTCTTACGCATTCATCAAACAGTTGTAAATATTTCATTCTTAATGATGGAAAGCCGCTGTCGAAGTACCGAAATGATAGCGTCTCAGACTGTGAAACTGAGTTGTGATACATTCTTATTCCTCAGGTAGCGTCTGTTCTCCAAAGATAGTAAGTACGATTTACTGACGGGTGTTAACAAGCAAGATACTTAGGTTCAGGGTTTTCTGTCGACCATCTACAGCCATTTAACCTCAGAATTATGAAAACAACAATCATAGTAGATTAATGAATATATAAGTGATGAATGAATTTAATTTACTTAAAGATTCAAATATCAATGATAAATATTATTTTATACTAATAAAGGGATCATATAGTCATATACATATACATGGATTAGTTTACTACAAAACGAAATAGACAAGAAAAGTCATGTGCCTAAATATTACTCTACATAATTCCATATAATTCACAAAAGATATATCCATTTGAAAATTTTTTACTAGCTGACAAGTCCCAAAGAGAATGAAAAGCGTATTTTTGATTCCATTGATAGTCACATTCCATCTATTTTATATCAACCAGTCATAATAATAATACCGAGGTAATCCGAACAGGATGCTTATATGCCAACTAAAACTGATCATATTTCAGTCAAAAATATCAATGACAGGATAATACAAATTATTTTTAATTAAAGTAATTAATGATTTCAATAGTTGAGACCATGAGTCAACTGAAGCAAGACCACCATGAAAAACCTGGAAGCACTGAATTGATCATAATGAATAGAGATAGAATATAATGAAAGAAATAATAATCTATTTTTACAATCAAGTTGATTCTTTGGTTAAGGATTCTGCAATATACTAAATGATATGAACTAAGCAAGAATTATTAATATGAGGTGAATGTTAATGAAATTCTTTATATCTGAGAGACTAGTGATAATAATATCAAGATATGTAAATAATTATAGCAAAGTGGAAGGTTACAGTTATAACAGTGAAGTTAGGTTCACTTTATAGTTAGGATTAGTACTGACTTATTAGGCTTGATTATATATTTCTTTTGAACTCAGTTTTTTTTAAAAAAAAAAGATCACTGTAGTTATTTCTTTTGAAGGTTTAAAGACTCTGAATCTGACTGACTATTATTTACATAATAAACAGTTGGAAACAAATGATACTGGCTATCTGTATTATCAGTTTTAACTTAATGTGTTTGCTTTAAATTTTCCAATTTTTTTGAAATAACCAACATAGACAACTTAATAAAATCCCTTATAATTTAAGTATATAAGTGAAAATTGATGTCATTTTAAAGTTGTTGTCTGTTAGATAAACTCTTCTTAGGTAAATAAACATACGTAAAAATTTTTTTTGAATAGTTATTACTAATGAAACAAGTTTATAAGAATCAATTTTAAAATAATCTGGTTAACGTGTCTTTAGCTAGTTAGCTTTCTACGGGATGAAGTCGCTAATCCCATGACCAACCCTCCTGCCTTGACATGGGCTTCGGACCGGCAGTAGCCCCAAAGGGGCTCCAGGCGGAGTGTAAATTGCATGATCAAGTTAATCAAACTAGTAAATTAAAGAAAAATACATCAGACAAGTTATAAATTATTAACCTTATTGTAGTAGATGAGCTTTACTTAAACGTAAGTGCTGACTGCCATTTCTTTGATCGAATTTGTAACAAAACTATTTCAAAAGATTAATTTTAAACAAGTAACATTTATACTATCTGTAGTGTTTCTATGTTGTGCTACAAACCTAGTTGACAGAATTCGGGCAACATTAATATAATTCTATAAGAGTTTATTTATATATCAACTGACTTATTTGTAACATTTTTGGTTGGGGCACTGCGTAACTTAAGTTTTAGTGTTTGAGTAAACATAAGTTCGCAAAGTTAGACATCATAAAACCTTATTTCATGAGTTCCTGCCGGTACCATTCAACAAACCGAATTAATCGCTAGTGTTAAGGCTTTATCGTTAGAAGGTATTTCCATGTTGCTACTATTTGTCATTGAGACAAGTGACTTCTATTCTAAACAGTATTTCATACAGTAATATAACATGGCTTCAAAACTCACATGTGGTGGGTTTCTTCTCTAAGCGTTCCAACTTTTCCTACAATATCATCAGATTGGAAGGGTTCTGCAGATTCATGGAAAGAGATAGGTTCTGAGTGCCATTCCTTCTGGAACTTTTTCTCGAGATCTGATTCCATAGGAATTACTTGTGTGCCGCTACTAATAAGCACCTTTTCATTAGAATCAGTTGGTAATCTAGCGCAAATGTTTAGTTGGTGAGACGCATATTTTGACACAGATATATCTTCACTTTTATGATCATCAGATCCAAGCAATCTGATGCCTGCCTTAATTACCTCACACAGATCCTCATCAGCCCATGCTATGTCACCTGAAGAGATAATACTGGCCAGGTGAATTACTGATGTCTGAATACCCGTAGTACTTAAACGTCTAGGACTTTCTTCACGAAAATCTATTGAAGAATGACTTTGTTTTGCTTTGATAAAGTATTGCTGATCATAGAACGGATCTGTTTGTACACCCAATTCACAAACAATCAAATCCTCCTCTTCTGTGAATTCCTCCGTAATTTTTATTTGACTATAAACTTTTTTACTTTTCTTCTCCGTTATTTCCAAGATACGTTCTTCGATTAGGTCGATAGGTTCACTAACTTCTTCCATTCGAGATTCTGTGTACAAATCTTGTTCAACTTGAGTCCATGCTTCTGCAATTTGATCTTTAATGAGTCTTCTTTGATAAATTTCAAAAATATCCTCTTTTAATTTGTCATGTCTTTCAGTCTGCATAGAAATTCCGTAATGATCCGTTTGGGACGCTGTTGGTATATGTGTAGGACAGAATTGACACTGGACTTCACATACTTGTCCTAGTCTTGAGCGCATCAAATATGCTTCATAAGTGTAACTTGATCCACTAAGCGGGGATTCAGATCTTGATATTTCGGATTCAGACGGTGAACTATGTGAAAATGAATCGAATACAATTTGAATGCCAACATCTGCTGCTGTAACGGGCTCTTCCATGGCCATAGAGGCCTGCTCACGTACCGACCCAAACTCACGACGGCTTTGATAATAATCAAAGACAGAATGCGTTGGGGGACATTTTTCCCAAACTTCAGTTACACCACTTTCATGAAGCAAGCGCTTCATGTATCGCGAATATGATGTGCCTGACACAGTTTGTTCACTGTCATCATGTCCACTCGATTCTTCTAGTATTATATTTTCATTTTCTATATGATGCTCAACAATATAGTCTGTAGAAATGTCTTTTACGTAGAATTCTTTTGAGTGTCCTTTATAAACTGAGCCAGTCAGGTTGACTTGAACTTCTGCATCAGTCACAAGCATGGCACTGCATGGTGCAGAATAATAATAACGTTCAATTAAACGTTCTCTGATGTCTGTAGAACTTACGTTTTGAAGTAAGACGGCAACATTTGACTCTATATCGTCAGTCATGGTTTCAGCATCTAGATTATCGATAATGATCTGTTTTTGAATTTTATCAGAGGTCATGGGCTGGGTTTGACAGCAAGCATTTTCTTGAGCAGGCTCATAAATATACTGGACTGAAAAGTTTTTCCTGTTGACGGTAGGCGATTGACTAACAGGTAGGGAAGGAGAGTGTTCTCTTTGAGAATCAGGCCTATAAATATTTGACTCTTCAGTTTGCACACAACTGTTCACCAAACAACGGTGTAATTCTTTCAAATTATCGTCAACTAACTCCCATTCAAGGTCTCCAGAGTCAAGAGGGACATCTTCGTCCTGAATTGTTGAAGACAAATAATCAGGATCAACAAGGAAGAATCCAGATGCGTCAATTAAGTTCGGACTTTTCAGATCACGAAAAACAGGCTTTAATGGCTCAGTTAAAGTTCCTACAGAGGAGCAATCAAAGACCATTATACTACAAGAATCAACAAGTGGAGATGATAAGGATTCAGGCAGATCAAAATTCACAAAACTATCAACAATCGGATACCTCATAATCGATGAAAAATTACATTGCGACCAAAAATCACAGAGAGAAGGTGTAGCAGAAACAGAGATATCGAAGACAGAGGACGCCATTGAATCAAAAACATCGGTAGCAGAAATCGGTGAAACTTTCCCCGATTTACTCATCACACTAGCAGAAGTGTCCACAAGACACAAACTCTCCTTCACCGTCTGCACACAGGCTTCCAATGTTTGGATGCGTTTCGGTGGTTCGTGGACCGGAACAACTGGTGTCTCTGGTTTCACTGGTGCATGGATCTCACTCCAAGAATCCACCATGCACAATTGGACAGGTTTGGCTTGTGACGTCGCATCGGTGCGTTTCAACGACAAATGGGCAGCACCGTCGAGTAGAGATTTGTGTGGCTCAGTCTGTGCACCCACGTCGGACGAGGAGACTGGTACTGTGTCGATTTGTTGGTCGACTGTGGAACGTTTCACGAACTGTGTGGCTTCCACTAGTGATGTTTTGCGAACAGGTTCAGGTGTGGGTAACTCCAATGAGGCGGTCTCGGTGACGAGAGGTGCTTGGACTTGAACGGTGGGTTTAGAGACAATCACATGCTCACTGGATTCCGTGACGTGTGTGGTAACGGAGGTCGCCTGTGTGGCAGTGTCAGTCAGTTGGCGTGGTGGTGGCTGTTTGACAGGCGGTTCTGCGTAGGAGGTACTCACTGACATCATATGATCAGGTTTCACTGTCTTCATTTCTCTGTGATCCACACTGGTCACAACTGGTCGTTCGGTTTGAGTCACCTGTACTTCTCGTTCTGCTACTCCCACTGCTTCCGTCAGTGTGTGGCTGCTGGTCTGTTGCACCTGGTAGCCAGAGCTCATGACACGCGTGGCCACACGCATTCCGAACTGCATTCCAACGTCCTGAGTGACTGGCTTCTCGACCTTCATGGCCATGGATAGTGTTGACTCGACGTAGGGTGCCGGTGTCACATGTGTCACTACTTCACTGGTTGTCTGACAGAGACTTGAGAACTTACTGGTCTGCATAGCGACATTCGACGTCTTCACAGTCACAGGAACCGGTTCGATCTTAGGCTGAACGGTCTGACAAGCCATCTCTTCGGTATTCACGTACCGATGTCCACAGCTGGTACACAGACTCCTCTCGACCATTTTCGGTTCTAACTTGTGTGTGGTCAGACTGACGACCGGTGTGCTCACCCTATCCACTTGCACTTCAGCATTCACACTCGGTCTCTTCACGAAAGCTGCAGCCGAATCAAGCACACTTTCCGGCGACTTCATTAACACACTGGTCGCACTATCCACAACACACACACTTTCCTTCACCGTCTGCACACAGGCTTCCAATGTTTGGATGCGTTTCGGTGGTTCGTGGACCGGAACAACTGGTGTCTCTGGTTTCACTGGTGCATGGATCTCACTCCAAGAATCCACCATGCACAATTGGACAGGTTTGGCTTGTGACGTCGCATCGGTGCGTTTCAACGACAAATGGGCAGCACCGTCGAGTAGAGATTTGTGTGGCTCAGTCTGTGCACCCACGTCGGACGAGGAGACTGGTACTGTGTCGATTTGTTGGTCGACTGTGGAACGTTTCACGAACTGTGTGGCTTCCACTAGTGATGTTTTGCGAACAGGTTCAGGTGTGGGTAACTCCAATGAGGCGGTCTCGGTGACGAGAGGTGCTTGGACTTGAACGGTGGGTTTAGAGACAATCACATGCTCACTGGATTCCGTGACGTGTGTGGTAACGGAGGTCGCCTGTGTGGCAGTGTCAGTCAGTTGGCGTGGTGGTGGCTGTTTGACAGGCGGTTCTGCGTAGGAGGTACTCACTGACATCATATGATCAGGTTTCACTGTCTTCATTTCTCTGTGATCCACACTGGTCACAACTGGTCGTTCGGTTTGAGTCACCTGTACTTCTCGTTCTGCTACTCCCACTGCTTCCGTCAGTGTGTGGCTGCTGGTCTGTTGCACCTGGTAGCCAGAGCTCATGACACGCGTGGCCACACGCATTCCGAACTGCATTCCAACGTCCTGAGTGACTGGCTTCTCGACCTTCATGGCCATGGATAGTGTTGACTCGACGTAGGGTGCCGGTGTCACATGTGTCACTAATTCACTGGATGTCTGACAGAGACTTGAGAACTTACTGGTCTGCATAGCGACATTCGACGTCTTCACAGTCACAGGAACCGGTTCGATCTTAGGCTGAACGGTCTGACAAGCCATCTCTTCGGTATTCACGTACCGATGTCCACAGCTGGTACACAGACTCCTCTCGACCATTTTCGGTTCTAACTTGTGTGTGGTCAGACTGACGACCGGTGTGCTCACCCTATCCACTTGCACTTCAGCATTCACACTCGGTCTCTTCACGAAAGCTGCAGCCGAATCAAGCACACTTTCCGGCGACTTCATTAACACACTGGTCGCACTATCCACAACACACACACTTTCCTTCACCGTCTGCACACAGGCTTCCAATGTTTGGATGCGTTTCGGTGGTTCGTGGACCGGAACAACTGGTGTCTCTGGTTTCACTGGTGCATGGATCTCACTCCAAGAATCCACCATGCACAATTGGACAGGTTTGGCTTGTGACGTCGCATCGGTGCGTTTCAACGACAAATGGGCAGCACCGTCGAGTAGAGATTTGTGTGGCTCAGTCTGTGCACCCACGTCGGACGAGGAGACTGGTACTGTGTCGATTTGTTGGTCGACTGTGGAACGTTTCACGAACTGTGTGGCTTCCACTAGTGATGTTTTGCGAACAGGTTCAGGTGTGGGTAACTCCAATGAGGCGGTCTCGGTGACGAGAGGTGCTTGGACTTGAACGGTGGGTTTAGAGACAATCACATGCTCACTGGATTCCGTGACGTGTGTGGTAACGGAGGTCGCCTGTGTGGCAGTGTCAGTCAGTTGGCGTGGTGGTGGCTGTTTGACAGGCGGTTCTGCGTAGGAGGTACTCACTGACATCATATGATCAGGTTTCACTGTCTTCATTTCTCTGTGATCCACACTGGTCACAACTGGTCGTTCGGTTTGAGTCACCTGTACTTCTCGTTCTGCTACTCCCACTGCTTCCGTCAGTGTGTGGCTGCTGGTCTGTTGCACCTGGTAGCCAGAGCTCATGACACGCGTGGCCACACGCATTCCGAACTGCATTCCAACGTCCTGAGTGACTGGCTTCTCGACCTTCATGGCCATGGATAGTGTTGACTCGACGTAGGGTGCCGGTGTCACATGTGTCACTAATTCACTGGTTGTCTGACAGAGACTTGAGAACTTACTGGTCTGCATAGCGACATTCGACGTCTTCACAGTCACAGGAACCGGTTCGATCTTAGGCTGAACGGTCTGACAAGCCATCTCTTCGGTATTCACGTACCGATGTCCACAGCTGGTACACAGACTCCTCTCGACCATTTTCGGTTCTAACTTGTGTGTGGTCAGACTGACGACCGGTGTGCTCACCCTATCCACTTGCACTTCAGCATTCACACTCGGTCTCTTCACGAAAGCTGCAGCCGAATCAAGCACACTTTCCGGCGACTTCATTAACACACTGGTCGCACTATCCACAACACACACACTTTCCTTCACCGTCTGCACACAGGCTTCCAATGTTTGGATGCGTTTCGGTGGTTCGTGGACCGGAACAACTGGTGTCTCTGGTTTCACTGGTGCATGGATCTCACTCCAAGAATCCACCATGCACAATTGGACAGGTTTGGCTTGTGACGTCGCATCGGTGCGTTTCAACGACAAATGGGCAGCACCGTCGAGTAGAGATTTGTGTGGCTCAGTCTGTGCACCCACGTCGGACGAGGAGACTGGTACTGTGTCGATTTGTTGGTCGACTGTGGAACGTTTCACGAACTGTGTGGCTTCCACTAGTGATGTTTTGCGAACAGGTTCAGGTGTGGGTAACTCCAATGAGGCGGTCTCGGTGACGAGAGGTGCTTGGACTTGAACGGTGGGTTTAGAGACAATCACATGCTCACTGGATTCCGTGACGTGTGTGGTAACGGAGGTCGCCTGTGTGGCAGTGTCAGTCAGTTGGCGTGGTGGTGGCTGTTTGACAGGCGGTTCTGCGTAGGAGGTACTCACTGACATCATATGATCAGGTTTCACTGTCTTCATTTCTCTGTGATCCACACTGGTCACAACTGGTCGTTCGGTTTGAGTCACCTGTACTTCTCGTTCTGCTACTCCCACTGCTTCCGTCAGTGTGTGGCTGCTGGTCTGTTGCACCTGGTAGCCAGAGCTCATGACACGCGTGGCCACACGCATTCCGAACTGCATTCCAACGTCCTGAGTGACTGGCTTCTCGACCTTCATGGCCATGGATAGTGTTGACTCGACGTAGGGTGCCGGTGTCACATGTGTCACTACTTCACTGGTTGTCTGACAGAGACTTGAGAACTTACTGGTCTGCATAGCGACATTCGACGTCTTCACAGTCACAGGAACCGGTTCGATCTTAGGCTGAACGGTCTGACAAGCCATCTCTTCGGTATTCACGTACCGATGTCCACAGCTGGTACACAGACTCCTCTCGACCATTTTCGGTTCTAACTTGTGTGTGGTCAGACTGACGACCGGTGTGCTCACCCTATCCACTTGCACTTCAGCATTCACACTCGGTCTCTTCACGAAAGCTGCAGCCGAATCAAGCACACTTTCCGGCGACTTCATTAACACACTGGTCGCACTATCCACAACACACACACTTTCCTTCACCGTCTGCACACAGGCTTCCAATGTTTGGATGCGTTTCGGTGGTTCGTGGACCGGAACAACTGGTGTCTCTGGTTTCACTGGTGCATGGATCTCACTCCAAGAATCCACCATGCACAATTGGACAGGTTTGGCTTGTGACGTCGCATCGGTGCGTTTCAACGACAAATGGGCAGCACCGTCGAGTAGAGATTTGTGTGGCTCAGTCTGTGCACCCACGTCGGACGAGGAGACTGGTACTGTGTCGATTTGTTGGTCGACTGTGGAACGTTTCACGAACTGTGTGGCTTCCACTAGTGATGTTTTGCGAACAGGTTCAGGTGTGGGTAACTCCAATGAGGCGGTCTCGGTGACGAGAGGTGCTTGGACTTGAACGGTGGGTTTAGAGACAATCACATGCTCACTGGATTCCGTGACGTGTGTGGTAACGGAGGTCGCCTGTGTGGCAGTGTCAGTCAGTTGGCGTGGTGGTGGCTGTTTGACAGGCGGTTCTGCGTAGGAGGTACTCACTGACATCATATGATCAGGTTTCACTGTCTTCATTTCTCTGTGATCCACACTGGTCACAACTGGTCGTTCGGTTTGAGTCACCTGTACTTCTCGTTCTGCTACTCCCACTGCTTCCGTCAGTGTGTGGCTGCTGGTCTGTTGCACCTGGTAGCCAGAGCTCATGACACGCGTGGCCACACGCATTCCGAACTGCATTCCAACGTCCTGAGTGACTGGCTTCTCGACCTTCATGGCCATGGATAGTGTTGACTCGACGTAGGGTGCCGGTGTCACATGTGTCACTACTTCACTGGTTGTC